CGGCTGCTGCTGAATTTTGACAAACCCATTTCTTTGTCAAACAGTGATTGACGTTTTCTGTGAACACAAGTAGGCAGCATGAGGAATGGGCTCAGAATAATACCCATGAGCCGGTGTGACATCAGTGCTGTGCATGTATGGTGCATGTACTGTACCTGGACATTCCTGCACTGCCTCAATGCCTAATATCTGTGCTCCCTTCATAGCACGATTTTCATGGCAACACTGACAATACTATCCACTAATACTACAGATACCAGTATCTTGGAATGCTGCTCAATTTGGATAAAACTATTTACATGTATTTGTCAAACTATGACTGACGCAAGTCTATGAACACTGTGTTGAGTCGGAACTGAGCACAAACTAAGCGAATGACCACAGCCATGAATTCAACGAAGGAGCTCAATGACAACGAAATGAGGATTGGGGACGAGTGGATCTGTCAGCTCCTGACGGTGGAAGGAGCTATCGGTGGTGTAGGAAACCTCATGGTGTGCTTCGTCATTCTGCGAGTCAAATTCCTTCACAACATGACCAACTATTTGCTGGTGAATCTGGCTTTGGCTGACATGCTTGCTTGCCTATTGGAATTTGTCTACTATCTGATTGTATCTCCAAACTGCAGGCTTGTCAGATATGTTCCAGCCAGTTCTTGGGAGAAGGAACTTTTCTGCCGCCTTCTTTTCGGTGGTTACTTAACATGGACTTTCTGCTACACATCTGCATACAGCCTCTGTTTAGTAACATTGGAAAGATACGTTGCCATAGTACATCCTCTGAAGTATGCAAAGAAACTCTCAGCGAAACGGATCAAAACCTTGCTTGTTTTCATCTGGGTGATATCCTTTGTGGCACCAATACCATTCTTACTTGTTTCTCACCAAAGTGAAGATCCTAATAACACTTGCTCAGATATCCAATATCCAACTGAGTCATTTGCAATTCTTGTTGGTGTGGAAGGATTTCTATTCTCCTTTGCTCTACCTATAGTTTTTATGAGTTTGGCCTACTACAAGATGCAAATCACTCTGAAAAGACAAGCAGCGGCCCTGAACTTGCAGTATGCAAGAGCAGCAGCCTATGATCTAGTAGTTGCTCGACAGCGTCTGGTCCACATGCTGACAATTGTCTTAGGAGTTCTAATCCTTTTGTGGATGCCAATCTACATTGATACAATTATGTGCTTACACCCTACAGATGGTACATTTCTGTCCTGCGGTTCAGAAATTCATGCATATGTCAGAGGGATTGCCAATTTCCTCTTTTACTTCAATTCTGTTATAAATCTGGTCATCTATGAGTTCAAGTACAAGAAATTTCGGCAAGGTTTTAAAGTAGCATTTTGCAGCTGTCACAATAGGCAAGGTGGAAACAGAATTCATGATGAGATGGCACCGAGAAATTGACAAAATTTTTCTGATGAACAAGTACTTACCTATGTAATCATACATGTATAAATAAAGAGATACCGGTTTGAAAGTCTGGTTTGTTTTTAAAAATGGCCTGTTAAAATCTGTCATGCCTCATTTTTGCATAGACTACAAAGGGAGAGAACTTCATAGCCAGAGTCACAACTGAACATGTTCACAGTGTCCCAAATTCAAAGAAGTGGGCAAACATTAAATATAAAATGAAAAGGCCAAAGGGGCTAGACACCAGTAGATGAGCATAAAATGATAATTATCCACTTCCTGCCGGGGATTCCGGTACCGGACACGTATGCTTTATATGCGTTGCCGTGGTCTCCGAAATCGGACAAAGGAAACTGGGCCATGTAACAAAAGACGGTACTCAGAGCAAAAGACTAGGTTGCTGGGCATTACTGACATCTTTTCATTCTCAAAAGTGGAGATAATCCAGCCTTGTTTTGAAACAATATACCACTGTTTGGGGCATTTAGAGTGAGCGGATTACCACCGGGGACAAAAGCGCTCTACAACTAAAGCGATGAGCCCCAAAGCACCACTGCATGCTAATCTGGTCTCTATTGAAAAGAGGTCAGGAGCGCACTGTGCCAGGTGCGTGAACAAAAGAAAGTTAGATAACACCGCACAATCTGGGCTCTTTTTACAAGGCTGCAGGCCTGGCTGAAATACTCAGGTGTCAATAGATTTTGTCTGTCAGGCTAGAGTGGCCACCAGACAGTCTTTCATGTGGGTGTAAGTGTCCAGTAAATGAAGAAAGGAATTTTTTTAGAATTTTGAAAACAGAAGAAATGATAATCATACCGCCCCAGCATCATCAACATTGATAACTACAACCGGTGCAAAGAGGTTAAGGCTATTTGTACACACATGAATGCCTGACAGGTTAAACATAAGGTGAGAACCATAATTAACTGCCATATTCTATTCACTGGTACACTAAGTGTGCAGAGGTTTGTGGATGTGCCAGCAGTTGAGGAATTGCTACATGTACATGTACATATGTACTATTATGATTTGAATGAAATTAACCCCTTTGTGCCGGGATACTTTTGACTGTGACTGCTGGGCTGTGGTATGCCCTGAATGGAGGGCTTTGTCAATCAGAAGGCCCCATTGAACCATACAGCAGCTGCATGGTGAATAGACTGTAGTGTGGTATGCACTAATCCTAACACAGATTTCCTCTTTATACCACTGGATTTTGACTGTCCAACTGCACAAAAAATTTCAAAGGGTGCACAGGGTGAGATCTAGCCCACTGGGTAAAAGCTGAACACATGCAGTTCACAGGGACAACCTTTTTCCATGGGAGAAAAGTTGTTCCAAAGTGCAGACGACAGTCCGGGCCAAAGTCCATCGAAAGAGACATGCTCCAGCTTGAAATCAAGTAATCAGGGCACTCAAAAGGAATGAATTTTTGTAATGTTTAACTATGGCGGGTTTATGTGTATCACATTTTATTTCTGCACAACTTTTGCCCTTAAATATGGACACAGCCTGAGTTGATAGAGACATGTACATGCAGGTTGGTAAAGAAGAAAAATTAAGGGATAACAGCAGAAACATGAAGGAGTTGTGGACTAATAGTCACGTAGTCAGTGCATAGAAAATTCAATTAGAGTCTTAAAGGGGAAGATGTGGTGGTAATTACCTACATGTGTGAAGCTTTCTATGACTTTTTTTATTACAGGGATAGAACCCTAAATCTAATTATTCATAACCTAATACTGAAACCATATTAATAAGACACATACATGCACTGGCTGTTATCTCAAGATTTTTAGTTGCTGGAAAGCGGTATTCATACAGGTACATGTTAAAGTTACGATATCTGAAGGTAGTGGCAACTAGGAGGAGATTGGAGTCACAGCGGATATTGCAGGGGTGGAAAAAATGCAGCTGCATACATGTAGATCATTTATGTGTATGTATTTTGGGACATTTCGTCAGTGGAGGTGCACCCGTACAGTTACAGCAGAATAAAAACTCAAAGTACACATATCCCTTGGATAAGAAATCAACCCTTCTGTGATTGCTGATGCCTCGTCAATCAATATGCCAGGCATAAGTCAAGTACAATGGTGAGAGCTGAGATTTGAATGAATTTACACAACTTTGAAAAAAAAAACCTGTTTTCAGCATTCCGGATATGTCACATTTTAAACAGTCCTTATACCCCCCTGAAGTACACAGCTTGAGAAGGTTTTTTTTCCCCCTGAAATGTTGATTGTGTAAACATCAAGTGACGTGTCCAGGCAATTGTTGGTAGAGAGTCTACATGGAAAAACAAAGTTGTCTTTACAAAATTGTCAACAATCAGTGACAGCAAATGTTATTTCTCTGACTGTCACCATGTCAGGAAGGAATGAAACTCAATTGGGCCCTGCTGACAACAGGGAGAATGCCCAATACAAGTGGATTTGTTATGCCTTGGCAGCAGAAGGGGTAATTGGTGTTTTAGGAAACCTCTTGGTGTGCTTCGTCATTCTGCGTGTCAAATTCCTACATGACATGACCAACTACCTGCTGGTGAACTTGGCAGTGGCAGACATGCTCCTGTGTCTTCAAGAATTTTTCTTGTATTTTGCTGCATACTCAAAGTGCGAAGTCATCTCTTATGTGCCCAAGTCCGCTGGTGGGCGGCAAATCTTTTGCCGACTTATAGCATCCGACTTTTGGGTCTGGGCTGTGTCTCATGTGTCGGCATACAGCCTCTGTTTGGTCACGTTTGAAAGATACGTTGCAATAGTGCATCCACTACAGTATGCCAGAAAAATCACATCCTCACAGATTGCAAGAATGATTGCTTGGATATGGGTGCTGTCAAGTCTAGTTTCTTTGCCTTTTGTATTTACGATAGAACCAGCCGATGACAGCGAACAAGCCTGCTCCGACATCAAATACCCTCATCCAGCATTTCCTTTTGTTGTTGGTGTATTTTGCTTTCTCACGGCTTATCTGCTGCCCATTACACTGATGAGTTGGGCCTACTACCAGATTCAAACCACTCTCAAACAGCAAGCAGATGCTCTGAGCATGCAGCAAGTGAGGGCAGCGGCCTACGATCTCATGATTGCCAGACAGCGCCTGGTCAGCATGCTGACACTCGTGTTAGGAGCTCTGGTGGTCCTATGGACACCAACATATGTGATAACTGTATTTTGCGTGCAATCACAAACGGGGGAGATTCAACTGGAATTCTGTAATTCTCCAAGTCTCCAGCATATCAGGGGAGCCTGCAGTTTTCTATTCTATCTCAATTCACTCATTAATACCATCATCTATGAGTTCAAGTACAAGAAATTCCGACAAGGTTTTAAAGAAGCTTTCACCTGCTGTCTTCCTCTCACTACGAAGGACAACAGCGTTGGCATACAGTTGGCACATTTTCAGGACAACTGACCCCCTCACTTCTGGACAATTTCAAAATGAATGCTTCCAGAAGACAACTACATTGTATGATATAACTGACCCAAGACTATGCATTCCACCGTGACTTGTCAACTGTCCATTTGTGAAGCATGTGTGAGACATCACAGCAATGTCGGAAAGTAGGAAACTAAGACTTACCGAGGAAAGCCAGCTGAGAATCATCAACCATGAACTCACAGCTGTACACTTGAAGGGGCTTGGAGTCCTGCCAAGGTAACATAAGATGGAGACAAGACTTCATTCATGCATGTCATCATGGACAACATAATTACTGGCAAGTACAGGTGCAACACTGAAGATGTAGAATGCATTCACAACTTCTCAAGTTAATTTTCACTTATCCACATGCTTGTATTCATTCTTTATGTGCAGCAGATGAAACTTTTAAAGCTCTCCTTGTGACATAATGTACATGTACATGTGTCACTAAAAACTAGTGGTGGGACTTGAACGCAATCGTGTTTATAATCCAGTTTTGACTGAACTCTCTGATTTAGATTGTAAAACTAGATACATGTAGCTGGGGGAAAAATTGGTTAGAGTTTCTGCTGCAAGAGAGAATGATATTTTGCTTTTTGCTCAAATCTAAAAAATCTAAGGCTGAAGGAATGTGGTGGGAAGAAATGTACAACAAATCTTAAAAGGTCATCATTCATAAAGCAGACTGTGGATGTGGTACAAATGTACATATATATCTTGTTTTAAGAACAAGGTATTGATTTTGTGAACCAGGGGCAGAAAACAGATAATCCAATTTTAAATGTTTTCGAAATTTGAACAAATGAATTTGGAATCATCCTGTTTGTCCATTCACTACCAGTACATTCACAATGGCACCCTTGTGTGAGTATGACTGCCACTGTACAAGATTGATTTTCTTGCACTGAACTCAGTAGCAGTTTGAGCACTTTGTGACTCATTTCTTGGGTCCCAAGTGAACATCACCTACGATTGTAAGCAGTCATGGCAGTGGTTTTTAAATGTACAGGGACTTGTCAAGTAATAAATTCAGACAATGTTGAGTTGCAGAAATAAATGTTTCAGTATGACTTGTGAGCTGACAAAGCACATTTTATCCTGCTACGGTAGCTGGTGAGTTCATGAATTTTAGTGTGACAAGTTCTACCAAAGCCGGGCACCCCTGAACAGAGCGTAAAAGGTATATGACTAAAAAAACAATACCAAGCATTTTTTCACAAATTTTCATTTTTTACCATCTCACACCTGTACCATGCCCTATCATTTGAAACTTGTACAAGTACATGTAAAGACACTCATTATGGGCTCACCTGAGAAGCTTCATTTCAATTTGATAAAGGGTTTTATTTTTACGGCCTGTGTAAGAAAAAAATTGGCCTTTTGCAAGAATGACATATTCAGTGTTCACAAAACAATCACAAGACATAAATCTGAAAAACACCTGAAGGCTCAGCGTATAAACAAAAAAACAAAAACCAAAAACAAAATGGACTGTGATAATATCCTGTAGGAGTTAATGTCCAAGGTGAATTTCATCCCACTGTCTTTCTTGCTGTTAAAACATGCCGCACATACTTGTAGACAGTAAATTTTCCCTTTGAGATGATTTTTCTAATGATTTGTAGGGGTGTATTAGTTTGGTTCAAAAAATTCATCTCTCCTAGCTATATCAACATATATGTTGCTTAAATTTAAAGACGTTCACCATCCCTTTCCCTATGAGGGTAATCAGTACCTACATTGTAGAAGTACATTTAACCATTGTAACGTTCAGCTGCATACACATACATTGTAGATTTTGCCATCATGTTATAACCCATTCTGAGTTTAGGCAGTTTAGAAACTTGTGTTTTCAACTTGAATTTGCTGTGAAACAACAAAGCTCAAATGAGGAAAATTTTTAAGGACTATTTCCCAAACTTTGAACATTGTGAGGGGAAAAACTTTTATTTTAACAACACCGAAACTGCGCATTTAGCCAGCTGCCCAGAAGAGCTTTGTCAGATCATCGATGTATCGTCCTCTTTCACACTGATTAAGATTGCTCATAATGTACCGCTACTCTGTAGAATCTAACTGGTGTTTAGTTTTTATAAATTATGTAGTTGACTTTCAAGTGCACCAGACTGTATCAAAAATCTATCATGAGAGCAATCCCAGCTTTGATATACATTTACATGCCATGATGTGCATTTTGTTGGTGAAATGGAAAAAGTGCACTTTTACAAGTATATACATTGTACATGTAGATGGGATCCATTATGGGTTGCCTATGTGCACAATTTTTAACAGTGTTACAAGTGGTTTGACTGCAAGACTGGTCATAGTGAAGCAATCTGTTTGCATGTCTCTTTAAATGTGTGGACCTAATCAATTACTACATTAAACTTCTCTTCTTTAAACTTCAGTTGGCATCAATACTAATTGCTAGTCACAGAGACACCATTTCTGTTCATGACATCACAGGACATGATCATTATCTGCTCTTGGTAATGTAAGCATAGTGGTATCATTATTCTTTTCTTGTGTGTGTACCATTCCAGTTGGAATTTTTGGTAACATTGTGATAATTAGTGCACAGATGTACAGGTATATACCGTTATGCGGCTTTCGGCAAGTATTCATGTATTTTTGTGAACACTAAAACCAGTGCATGATCATTAACTGCAGGATACTGATTGCAAACTGTCAACTACCGGTACCCGGTACATGCATAAAGTTCAACAGTGGCTTCTTGATTTCAAATGCAAACTACGCTTTGTAAACTATTCAGTATATCAACGAATCAATCGGTCTGATGGTGTTTTTCAACCATTTTTTAAAAGCACTTTTTCCGTTTGTTGCCAGCAATTAAGAACAAGAAATTCTGGAGCAGAAATTCTGGAGATCAGTTTCTGTTGTGTAAACTGTATCATTTTAACTGTATAATGCTTGTCTTGGTGTACTGCCACATACATAAGGATGGCAAATAAACACTGGTTAACAGGCCACACAAATTTGGTGCAAAGAATATCTTTTGAAGTAAACAAGAGTGTCTAAATGAAAAGTGAAATGCCACATAAATATATTCCAAATGCGCATGTATGCAATATATACACTGTACTTGTATTTTGAGGTAGGACTGGTTTCATTTTTAATATATTCCACAGATGTGAACAGAATCTCACAAGTTACCGTACTAAAACAAACTTGATGAATGCTCTTGTTCTGAAAAAAGTTCATGTCCAAGATTCTGCCTGCAACAAGAGTGAAAATTTTTCGTGTCTGAGCATATATGCACAAACCAGCACCAACTGGTACTGCACACTGCATTCAAACCCATGGACTTACACATTTTATGTACTACAATTATTCTGTAAAGTGACCATTATTACTGATGAGCGCATTAGATGTTAGAATACTAAGTCAGCTGACTACATGTAATTATATACCATAAAGTTCATTGTGCCTTCCCTTTCACATGACTCTAAATACATTTTGAAAAAAACAAAAATCCTCACACTGCTTTTAAGGTTGTACTCTTTTTTTGGGGGGGGGTGTCGGGAGTTAGAGTAACCTGGGTGTGTGACGGGCAATTTTCAAATTACATGTAATCATATTGAACTTGGGTATAATAAAAACATGCAGTTGCAGTAAGAAGTGTCCTTTTAATACTGTTCAAATGACTCTTCCAGTGAACATTCATGGTGTTTGGCTGTATATTAAATGTTCACTGCTGTACCTTGCCTTTTTGAAATTGAAATTTTCAATCATTCCACGGGTTTCTGGTCGACCCACTACATGTATAAGCCATGTGATAAAAGTCAGTTGTTACAGGCCATCCAAAACAGTACTCACCCTGCTGACAAGAGCAATAGTCCGATCGGACTCTTGGTACTGCAGGAGGTAGATGCTCTTGGTGACATCAGCGACCAGAATGAAGTTTTTGACGGAGACGGCCCTGTGGATGTAGATCTGGGTGTCAATGAAGGCCAAACCCAGAAGATCATTGTCTTTGAAGGTCCAAAGATAAACCTGACGGAAAAATACACAAAATAAATATATCTGTAAATATGTAGGCCATTCACATGCTAAATTCAAAATCAAAACATGTGGGAGGGTTATTGACCTACATCGGTTCATGCGTTTCAAGAGGCAAATCAGTGTAAAATAGCGGGTTATTTTTTAATGTTGCAAGTTTGGAAACATGTGACTTCAAGAAAAGCTGAAAGTTTTAGTTGCAGCAGCAACGTGGAATTTATCTACATTTAATATTTAAATTAAATATATGTACTTCTGTAAATCTGTAAATGTATCTGTAAATCTATTAAGAGTAAATACTGGTCCACGTGTTACGTGTAGTTTGCAGTCAAGCACTTCAGTGAAAGAGAATAGAGGTATTGTACGGGGTCTAAATAAATCCCTGTCACCTAATGGATGGGTTACTGATCAAGTGTCATTGAATAACTGATCCCCAACACACACCAAAGTCACACCTGAACAAAAGAGTGTTTAGTTCCATTCCATGGTAAATGGAAATTAACCAATCCAAAGTGATTTCTGAGCTCACGGACAATGCAAGTACTGATTCTATCAGGGATTCAGGTGATGTGACGATTTATTCAGATATTATATTACCATTGTATTCATTAAACAGTTAGTGCCTGTATGTCAGAATTCAGTTGTAAATGAAGTTTATTATATTGTTATACTGTAGATGTGACTGCTGAAGCAGTAAACTGTGCTTGGAGGGAGTAATGACATTTATTATAATTGTCTCTCATACTCTGTAATTTCATTGCTGTTGAACAATCAGGTAGGGCTGTACTGATTATCGGAATATTCGAATTTTCAATCAATAACATGTATCAAATACCAGGGTACTTAAATTTGTTTTCCAAACTGAATATTCAGAGTTGAAGATCACTGAAAGGGGGGAATTCAAAAATTTCGTTAAGAAAGTTTATTCTAACTGCAAAGCAGGTGCAAGCATATACCCAACAATGAGGTCAAAAATTACTTTTCCTTCAAGGTTTTCTTGTTCAACTTTTTTTAAAAATATGTACATTTTCTGTCTGCTTTAGTGGGAATTTAGTACAACTTAGTAGGTCATATTTAAATATTTGATCAAACAGCAAGTCCAAAACTAGTACATGTACATGTATATCCATACATAATTATTCAAACTGACTCAGCCTTATACATGTACAATCAGATGTCCCAGTCCCAATTTAAAGGCCATTTTTTTACTGTGCTGTATCTGAACCATTTATGTATACATGTAAACACTGCACATAAACTGTAAATTACATATGTCAAGCCTATTATTAAAGCCACCTTGTCAACAATGTTGTCCAATCATGTGCCGAGTCCCTCTCCCCCATAGGAACAAACTGGTGTTTGGAAACGCGGATGATATCAGTGTTCAATATGTACACAAACTTTGGCAAAATGATCTTGCAACACAATGCTTGGACATGACCAACCTGCATGTAACTTTTTACAAACACCCAGATTACTGCCCATCAGTAAAAGCCCATGAACTCAACACCTGTCATTGGTCAAGCATGATTCAAAGTGTACTGCCAAGTTTGATACTGTATGCTTGCTGGACTCGGAAAAGAACTCAACCACAGCACTGCTTATTAAGACTAAGTCAATTTGAGTAAAAATACCGGTATACTGGTATATATGGTATTTGACTTTCCTTCGATCAAATATTCACAGGAAGCTTTAGAAAATACTTTTCAAAAAATGGAAAAACTTAAAGAAAAAGTAACTTGGAGGCTTATTATTGTGCATATGCGTCAGCTTCCTCTAAGTTTACCCATAACACATACAAACACACTTTTAGAAGGCTTGGAAATTACAATTTGATTTTTCCCCCTTTTCATATCAAAGATTTTCACTTCCAAATATTTGATTTTAAGAATAAATATTGAAGTATTTAATAATAAACTCAATATCTGAATATTTCCATATTTGGTGTAGCCCTCCTGCTTGTCCAAATGTGTAGGGTGGGAGAGTGCACGCATACTGTACTTGTTTCATAGTTGTGGGGATAAACAATTTATGGGGACAAAGAAATTTGCCCCTACCACTCAGTCCTAATTTGTCCTTAAAGAAATTTGTCCCTTTCACCCAGTGATCGGCCTTCCCCCGTCCCCCAACAGAGGAAACATCTTCCCTCTTTGAAATCTGGGAAAAGTTTGCATTAACCAAAAACAACCATTCAATTCTCCGTCTCTGATTAATTCTACTTACTGGCAAAAAAATAATAACTGTCTCCAGACTGTTGTGATGACAGAGTTTTTATCTTGAGGATACATGGTATTGTCAGCTTCACTTCTGGCACCACGCATCCTTCAAGTGTAAACAAATACCTTTTCTAGTATCACAGCTATTGACAATTCCTGACTTGCAGTATCCGATCTTTACAACTCAGCACGCAATGAGTTAATAATTGGTCAGTTTAATTGGATTCAACACCATCATACAACTCACTCCTAACGGTACGGTAACAAGGTTACTGCCTTCCTCTTTCAGCTGTATAGTGCACTTCCATTCAATTAAACAAATTCAGTGCCAAGCCTCACTTCAACCTAGTTCAATTAATCATCAGTCATGCCATGGTCTAAGTACGCACGCAGGCACACACCGCCTCCCACGAAAAGTCATCCAAAGTCCACATTTACTGAGTTGACCATTTCTAGACGTCACTCTAGCGACACAAATTCATCTTCATTGCGTGCTTCCTACAAGTAACTGTAGATTTGTAACGCCGTTCACGATTTCAGCTAATAGCCTAGGCAAATATCTCAAGCACTACTGACGGATGGGAAGTTATTACCTTAGCAATGAATAACAGCTAAATAAAAACTTCAGCATGAGCAGCTGTCACTGTTCAATATAACCTCCCATGTATTTTCAGTTGATTTCTACCAGGGAACTACTTTGCCAGATTAAGGAAATGGAGGTGCAAGTTTATGTAATGAATATACATGTAGCAGTATAAAAGTAGGCTTGAATTTCTCAAAAAGTATTTTGCTCTTTACAAAGGGAGCTTTGGATTAGCTTACATGGGTAAGTCCTGACCTGCAAGGGCCAATTTCATAGAACTACTTAAGCATAAAATTTGCTTAAAAGCGGGAAAAAACTTCGCTTAATAAACAAAAGTTACCACCTCAAACGCTACCTGATTTTCATGCTAACCAAAAACAGCTGAATACAATGCCAAAACAATATACATTACAAGGAGTTTTGGCAGGTTACGTGACTTATCAAGTAAGGTTGTTTCGCACTTAAACAAATTTTGTGCTTTAGCAGCTCTATGCAATTGGCCCCCAGGGATGGCTACATGCACGTGTGCTGTGTCAAGCAAGCAAGACAGTGGAGACAAGGTTAAGCCTCTGTAACTCGTGGAAGCTGGTCGAACCACGAACCTTTCAAAGTGATGCGGTCATGCTAATTAGCATCGACAAGCATCAAAAGAGGTTATAAGTGTCAACAGTTTCTCGCAAACGCACTCAAAAGCTTCAAAAGAAGTATCATATTTGGAAGACTGCAGCATATCTAATCATATAAGAAAAAAAGGGTGACTTCACATCCAGAGTTCCCAGGTTAATAAAAACATTTTCACAGAGAGTGGAGGCCATTGTCTTTCTATTTTGATCACATGCATGCAAACAAGAACAGTTGCCAGTCAGGCTGCATGAGTGGCAACATCATTTTGTTGCTCAAAATTCCACTCTCATAATCTCTTTATATAAATGTGACATATTGAATATTTTAGGAGCATCATATAATTATACTGTAAACACTTAATTTATGTAATTGCTGATATTAATTAATTGGTGCTTGTTGTCACTAAATAACATGACCCAAGTGAGGTTCTCACATTGTTGAAACAATGCTTATCTTCAGGCCAATAATTTTTCCCTTAATCTTAACAGCCTAATTCAAAGGGGGACCGGTACAGCATCATGTGAAATTCATATATTGTTGGTACACTACTTACCTTCTGGCCAACACTTGTCAGCAGGTAGCCCATACAGTCACACAGACTTGACACAGGTCCCTTCTGGTCTTTTTCATACAACACCTGTCCAAAACACAAAAGTTTCTGTTTTTTTACACCATTTCGGTTAAAGATTTCATTTCCTGAAAAAGACTTTGAACTTGTTTAAAAGCATAATGCCGCATGTAGTACATTACAGTCAGTACTCACTTTAAGGTACAGTTACATGTACATGTATTTAGAATGAAAAGGCGAAATTCAATTTTCTTTAGACGCTAAACCTATATGACAGTCATGTCAAATTGAAAAAAAAAAAACCACGGACACATTATCCAGTGCATGTAGCCACTAATGTTGGCACACCAGTCAAATTTAGACCATTACTACAGGACTGACCCAGCTACATTGTATAGTATTCTGACAAAATGATCATAAACCACTTGTCTTGAACCTTAGCTTCCAAAACGCCTACAGATGTCATCACTAAAGGGCTTTTTTCATGTACAGTGATCATTACCCATGATCCACCCACAACCAGAAAGAGAACTTGTGCATTTACATGCGGAAATAAAAATGCCTAGGAAACTTCAATATTACAGTGGTTTTCAACAAACAAACCAAATCATGGGAAGGTTGTTTTGGGAGCTTTTGTCACTCATTCTGTTTTTTACCTTGATCTTGTTTTTAGTGAGCGGTTGGCCTGGCTCTGGGACGACCTCAATCACATCATAGATAAAAACCTGGAAAGAGATTACAGAAAAACAGAGATCAATTAAGACCAAGTCAATTGAAATAATTCATTTTTCAAATATTTGTTTCTATTTCATAGCTTTTCAGCTTGAATATTCAATTTTTATGATAAATATTTAAATATGAGCCTTTGAGAAAGATTCTGCAAGGAGCAAAATGTCAGCCCCTATTTAATTTAGCTTACCATTTGCATCCTAGTCAAACACTGAGAAATACATGTACATGTAGGCTGGATGTTAAAGGGTGGTAATAAGGAAATAAAGATTCTACGTAACGCAATTATATAACTCCAACCCTTGGAAATGCACCTTTGTGTTTCACTTAGCTTTATGATCTTGTTTTGGTATTTTACAGGTGTTCTGGTATCTTTTAGGCTTTTATGCTTTTGAAAATATTCCCATTGATGCAAAAAAGTGTGACATCATCCATTCATCATTTGCTCTGATCTGCTCGCAAAAAAATCTTTGGATTTGTGATGTTTTGTTGTCCACAATTTCCTTATCTTTGGTGACTGGTTTTTGTCTCAATCTAAGCCAATGAGTCAACTATCAGTTTTTCATAGGAATGAGTTGCCCAAAATAGCTCCACAAATTTTGAATGCTTTTAACAGTTTTTTCCAAGTACACCTAACCCAAAAGGATGTAAAATTGTCTCTACATATTGGAGATGAGTATTAAGATGCACAAACAGTGTGTCTGAAAAAACAATGAATGGAACTTGACAGAATGATATCAAAGTTTGTTTACATGTAAGTTTTTCAATGAGGGCTGGGCGAATCCCGTCCAAGCTCTTTACTACCAAAGAAAAGCACACATGTAAAAATAATTTGATGCCATTATGCTAAAGGCCTATTTGCCACAAATTTGAAGTGCTTCCTCCCCGGCAAAGAAGAGACAAGCCGTTCAGAAATTTCTCATCCTTGCTTTTGCACGCACTAAGTGTACACGCAGTGACTGTACATTCAAATAGAAACTGATCATGCGTTCTCGACGCGTTTTGCACATGAGCCTGCACACGTACACCGTATTTCTTTGTATTGTTCCAGCTGGGAGCAGATTAAGCATGCCAGGTTTACCTTTCCTGTACACTGGACGTCTTCACTAAAGACCTTTGTTGTTGCGGCAGCAATGTAACCCTTCTTGCCAGTCACTGACCCTTCAGAACTCAGATTGACGACCTTCAGGCAAGTCACATGCTCTAGCTCCTCAAAATCGATTCTAGGAGAAACGTACCCAAAAACAAACTCAGTTTTGAAAAAAAAAGTAATCCGGGGTCTGTTTTTTGATGATGCTGAGCCCAAATTTTGCTAACGGACAGCACATACTATACATGTACTTGCTAACAAAAACAGGTTAATAACGGCCAAATATTGCTAGATAGGTCATATTTGCTGGTGTTTCCCAAATTAATCACATTTTTTTCAAGCACCAATTTCTGCTACCGGCATGTGGTTTTATGATTAGACCCTGAACTGTACTACATGTACAATGTGCTCTAACATGAAGGTAGATAAGGAATAACTTCTCCTCTAATGCATGTATGTTGAATTTGCAAAGGGGCAAGGTTCGTGAAATTCATAAGAACCAAAATCTAATAACACCAAAGGGAAACTCCTAAGCCCACAAGATGTTTAAACAGTATTTTTCCAATTTCTATGAATAGAATTTGTGAAATTTAAAAATGTCTCAGTAATCTGTTAATGCAAGGAAAATGTCTGTACCATATGTCACAAACAAGGGTTACCATTCAAGGCTTTAACAGTGATTTTTATTTCAAATCACTGGTCCTCTCCCATAATTTTGGCTAAATTTACTTGAATTATGAAGCTCTGTAAAAGGGACATGGATTCCATGAAGATAAACAGAACAAAACTTGAACAAATAACCACTAACCTTGTCCTATGTGAGTGGAACTTTAAGCATAATTTTTGCGTGTGTTTGGGGTGTTGATGTGTTGAAGTTTCAGTGCTCTTGTTTTGGAGGATAGGTGTTTAGAACAGTTTAGTGTTTGGTAGTGTTTTGCTGTGCCGAGATACATTGTGTTGCATTGCACTGTGTTATGTGCTATGTTGTGTTGTGTTGCATTGTGCTGTTTTGTGTTGCATTGCATTTCACTGTGCTGTGCTGTGCTGTGCTGTGATATGATGTGCCGTGCTGTGATTTGTTGCATTATGCTGCTTTGTGTTGTATAAAATTGCATTGTACGGTGCAGTGTTGTGATGTGATATGATGTGCCGTCCTGTGCTGTGTTGCATTGTGCTGTTTTGTGTTGCATTGCATTTCACTGTGCTGTGCTGTGATGTGATATGATGTGCTGTGCTGTGATTTGTTGCATTATGCTGCTTTGTGTTGTATAAAATTGCATTGTACGGTGCAGTGTTGTGATGTGATATGATGTGCCGTCCTGTGCTGTGTTGCATTATGCTGTTTTGTGTTGCATTGCATTGCACTGTGCTGTGTTGTGATGTGATGCGATGTGCCGTGCTGTACTGTGTTGCATTGCGCTGTTTTGAATTACGTTGCATTGCAATGTGCCATGCTGTGTTTCACTGCGCTGTTTTGGGTTACGTTGCATTGCACTGTGCTGTGTGGTGATGTGCTATGCTGTGCTGTGGCACTTGTGGCATTTTGTGCTATGGTACAAGCTTGGTACACACTCACCTTGTGTTTGGGATGCCATCCCAGCTGAGAGGCGAAAAGAGCTGGATTGCAAAACGATCCCTCTGAGAAGCCACAAACCTTTCATCTAGGGAGAAGGGGTCAGAAAACAAACCGCTGCGACATTTTCTCAAAAAGACTGACCACTATCAAGAGTGATATACATAGCAACATTTTTAATGCAAAACCTTCATTGCAAACAAAAGGCTGATGCCCGATTTGTACAAAATAATTTCCACATACTCGTATACATATATGGCACAAAGCAGTGAGTGCACAAGTAGTATATTAAGCAAATCCGCAGATCTACGTTAAACGTCTTTTAAGCATTGGGCCAGCCTCCAACTGTCATCAGAGCAAAAGGGGCTCGAGTATGGACTGCTTAATGTCCCTGTGTCCATCATCGATTAGGCAAAAGTTTGACCTGAAAACGCAAGCTTGGCGCAACTGCAAAACACCCAATAATTCAAGTCATTACACATCAGGTCTAGCATCTTACCTCGTTCAGCTTCCTCAAACTCTTGGTCATCGTAGCCCAACCTCCAGATCTTCATGAATGGCTCCAGAGTGCTTGTGACCACTGCATACGTCTGGAAAACAAAACTCTTGGAGGTTTAAACAGCCTGTCTTAACAGGACGTGTCAGGAGCATGCAGGAAATGGGCCTTCCATTGCAATGTGTACAGTATCTTTCATTTCTCTTATTTGAAATAAAGACCACTGTGACTCAATCTAACAAGTATGACCTACACTATGAGATGGGGACTACAGCATGGCTCCATGACCAAGTAATTACAGTGATAAAAATGTATGTGTTATGCACAACGTGGAACAATGTGCCATATAAAAGGCAAAGGTATTGGACTTAACTAGTTCCACAGAAAAGGCATTCCTGCTCTATGAAAAAAGCTATGCATTCAAAAAACCTTTCTTTCAGAAAATATTTTCTTCAAGAAATTTCTTTAAGCAAAAAAGAAATTATATATTAAACTGGAATTGAAAAATATTTTTTTCTCAAAAATTCATTGAGAAAAACGTCTAACTAAACTGAAAAACTGCAAGCAGAAAGACTGTCAAAATCTAAAATAGTGTGACATTTCTTTCACGATTGGCTAATGATAAGTCACTGTCCAGACTCTCCAGAAAATTTGGCATACCCTACGTCAAGCTTTTTCTATGTTATGAGAAAAAGCGTTAAGAGAATGCATTTTTGAAAGTGTATTATTTGAAACAATCCTTGCAGAATCTTACCTTGCTGTCGACATGGTAACAAATGAAGTGAGGAGTGCATCTTAGCGGAACCTTCCTCACTGGCCAAGGAGCATCGTAAGACAGATGGGTGGGCAGAATGGAAATCCGCAGATCCCCCTAAACCAACACAACATATTATGGGTTTTTAATACATTGAAAGCTGTGCCAACTACTTGAATACTGGATGTGCAATCGAATATTTTATTATTTCAAAATCAAATCTCAGTATCTCAAAGTGCCAAGGCCACTGGGCATCCATGTCCAATTCACTAGTTTTTCTCAGAGCAATGTGGGCTCTGAAGGACTGAGGTCGGGACAACTACTACATGTAGATAACAATGAATGAGCACTTTATTTCTTTAATTTTGTTTTTCCTCAAAGCTCAACTATGCAGGTGAGACAGCACACCAACTTTCCTGTAACAATAAGGGAAATAATTTCCACCATTCATGTCCATTACAAGGTGTGAAAGTTTTTCTCTATGTTTATCGCAAACACATCAAAAATGAAAAAAAAAACTGACCTGTTTGTTGAAATACAGGAATCCGTGTGGGCAGTTGACATTGTGGAATGGGGCAAAGCAGGATACAGCACCATCAACGGACATAGGGTGGGCCCTCAAGGCACCCCGAGACTTGACAAAGATCCAGTGTGGATAGGGACCACAGACAAACACCTGTACACCAAGATACAATGGCAACTAGATGCTAACTGACACAGAGGGCTCTATTCAGACACATGGAATGTCACCAAGGTAAGGTACTGAAGGAATAATCTCAATGACCATGACATTCTTCATGAGGGTGAAATAAGGGGATGAAGAGAAATCACCAAAAAAAAGAGCAGTGGAGTTATATATTAAAGACACTGTTACTTCTAGGGGCTTGACAGGTGAAGGGTTCTCTCACAATTGGCTACAATTATGTGAATGTTGTTTTTTTGTGTTTAACCAAAAAACCCTGAATGACATAACCAGTAAAAGTCCACGATATGGGGTCAAATTTCCTAAAATTCACTTAAAGTCCTGAAAGTGCTGAAAAGTGCTGAAAGCATTCTGCAACATAGTTTAGCTTTCTTTCATGCTCTGTGGGTTCCTTGTGGAAGGACTCTTTTAGCAGAACATCAAAAACAGCAGAAGGGCCAAGCTGACCACTCCAATGCCTCTGGACCCTTATGGCAGGTGGCCAGGTAAACACCTAACAAGTTTGCTTGAATTGGATGGAAATTGATTCTGCACATTCATTTCAACCGCACAAAAGCAAAGAATGCACATGCAAGGTGCGCCAACCCTAAGTTGTTGCTAGCCAAGGCAACAAATATACAGAGCCAGTTTCGTGAAGGGGTTCTTTCCTCGCCTTTCACCTCTGCAGCTCAGGTTCGATTCCCGGCCTTTAGTTCACATGTCGATTGGTTTTTCAGTCCCTGCCTGATTCCATGCATTTTAACCTGAATATTCTTCTGAGGTTTTCCTCTTAAACTACATACATGTAATTATCACTGTCACCTCTGTACAGGTTTCTTCAGGCTTGTGAGCCACAAGTGCCTCGGGTACTTTTGAGGAATCCTCGGTATCATTACAACAGTAACTCTCGCATTCATACATGGATCCCACAGTCGTAATTAACAGAGCTTCTTCTGATTTGCTGACTACAAACACCCAATGTTAGATGTCATCAAACCCCCAACTGCCATGGTTACAGATGTAATTCAGATCGTAGCAGATTTTTGGAAGGTATACCAATTCCACTAACCATGTAAACCTTTACTGAGAACCTCCAAGATGAAATTTCAACAGACTCTGAGATTCTGAAAAGTGATGTGTAACAATAAAATGGGGCTTCATTTTACTGCTGAACCTCCATCACTTGAAAGCCTTGAAATCAATGGAGAAACCCCAGAACTACACAGCCCTGAGTGATGAGGCCCAGTGAGTCAGGGGGCATGACCCAGGATCTGAGGGTTAGGAGTCCAAATCCAGCTGGCTGGCCACAAGTGGACAAGCTACTTTATCCTCACTTGCCTCTCTCCACTCAGGAGTACAAATAGCAGGGATGCAAGTGATCAACAAAGTCATTTCCTGAAAAGCACTGAAAGCCAATAAATTGCGTGAGACTGCGAGGGAGGGCTTGTGCGACCAAGAGACTAACGGCAGGGGTCTAGACGCCCTTCAGTTTTTAGGGTTTTAACAGACAAACGTGAACAGATACCAATTTTACATAAAATCAAACAGGTACCATAATGAAGATGTGACATGTCATGGATATAATAAGATTTATTTCTAGCTGGGACTTGAACATACTTGGCAATGTTTGGTTTGAATGTCGGTCCTTCCTCCTACGGTGGTGATTTTTTAAGTTGCCACGTCCAATTATTGCCTTCTTCCCACTTGACGAATAGTTAATTACATACTACGTAGTTGCAGATGAGTGCATTTGGCTTTGTCACTGTTATTAAGCTTGCGCATGTAGTTCGACACAAAATATCCATCCTGGTCCTTTTCCTCGAGCCATGTCCAATTGAATTTATTCTTGATTCCCGTCGACTTCCATGTTGATCAAAAATTTCTATCCAAATACGCGGTCACTTCTCACAGAAAACTTTGCACATGATGGATTGCACAACACGTGAATGGAAAAAACATCACCATTGACATGATTGACAAGCGATTAATCAGCAGTTTCGGACGGTATTACATTCGCAACTCCATTACCAGTGATGGGATCACAACAGGTACCATCAAACCAGGGAGAGGTCGAAGGTTGCACCAACCTCGTTCCTGCGATGATTGACAGTATGTGTCACCAGTACCCCCTAGGGATGATACATGTGATAAGTGCATAAAGGCTTAGCCTTGGCACGCGCATGTTGGTGAGTAGCATAGGTCATGCATGCGCTAATGCATGATCTGCAATGCTTGTGAAGATCGAAACGCAGGCCGCCTGCGCGTGCCGGCATGGATCGTGTATGTATAAATGCACATTATCAAAGTGGAAAACGAAGGTTTTGTCATTTCTGGAAAATGATAACTTTTCACGCCATTTCCGGAAATCCAGAAATGTCCGGAAATCTAACAAATAGGTAGCAGTGTAAGCCGGGGAAGAAGCTGTGATGGACTGGCATCCCATTCCATTCCATCCCATCCCATTCCATCCCATTCTATTCCATCCCATCCCATCCCATTCCATTCCATCCCATTCCATCCCATTCCATCCCATCCCATCCCATCCCATTCCATTCCATTCCATCCCATCCCATCCCATTCCATTCCATCCCATCCC